AAAAAAAAAAAAAAAACTCAAGAAACTAACTATAGAGAGAAAAATCTGATCCATTCAAAGTATGCTGCATCCACCGTTGCCTTCTCTGATATCCATTGGGTTTTGAAGACTTAGAGGTTTCTCTCTTTCCATAACCACCAGAGAATGTAGGTGGTCAATCGTATCCTATCTTCAGCCGTCTTGTTCCTATGCATTGGACACACTTCTTTCCACCAAATTTTGAAGCAACTTTTGTCCTTCTGCAATCCATTCTATGTCACTGGTGTTAGCATCCATATCTTTCGGTCCTTTGGACAGTTGAAGAGGATATGTTCAGAAGTCTCCTCTGTGTCACCACAAACCTTGCAAATTTTATCCATTTTCAATCCTTTCTTGTAGATGTTGCTCTGGGAGGGGACGATCCCTGAGAAGTATTTTCATATGAAGTGTTTAATCTTTTTCTTTATTTTAATTTTTCAACTAATACTTCTGACTTTATTGATCCAAGAAGATTGGGAACTTGACTAAGGAAGGTCCAATCCCAGAATTTTCCTCTTCATAAGGGCAGTGTAAGAAGAAGATACAGAGTAGGTGCCCTTATTATAGCTCCAAGTGATTCTGGAATTCTGGCTTCTGTTTAATGTGGAGATTTTGAGAATTTCAGTACAATCCTATGGCATGGAAATTTGGCTGAGAAGATGCGCATCCCAGGAGTCTGCATGTGGTAGCATCAGTTCCATACCCAAGTGAGGTTACAGATAGCCAGAATCCTTATTGCTTGTCTTATGGGTTGGAATAGTTGACAACCATGGGTGGTCCCAAATGTGAGTTTCTCTTCCATCCTGTATGATTACAGCAGACCCTGTTCAACGGTAGAACTAACACTCATCCAACTCCTCCAAAGCCATGAATAGTTTTGAGGAGGTTTAGTGTCAAGAAAAGAGAAATTTGGGAAGTATTTGTTTTTCAGGATTCTTTTCATCAATGATTAGGGTTTTGTATGAGTTCTCCAAAGTTGCTTAAGAATAGAAAATTCATTGAACAACTTAAGATCCGAGAAACCCAGGCCCTCCATCTCAGTAGGAGTAGTTAGATGGTTCCACTATTTCCAGTGTAGCCCTCTATCCTGACCCCCATTATTGGACCACCAGAATTTGGCAAAAAGACTAGATATTTCATCACGAAGAGTGGAGGGTAAAAGAAAGAAGGACATCATAAATGTGGGAAGAGCACTAAGGACAGCCTTTAAGAGGACTTCCTTGCTAGCCGGGGATAAAAAGTTGCTCTTCCAGTTTAGAATTCTGGTTTTAACTGCCTTAACCACAAAATTAAAGGTTTATTCTATAAAGTGGCCAATGCCAAGGGGTAGGCCAAGATATCTGGTGGAATTTTGGAGTTTCATACCATTAAAGAGGTAGCAGATGGTAGTTTTAATTGAGAGGGGAGTGTTCTTACTGAAGAATATGGCAGATTTAGCAAGGTTAATTCTCTGGCTAGAACAGAGCAGATAGGTATGGAGGATGTTCATGATTTCAATAGCTTGATGGGGTGAGGCTTGGCAAAAAGCAGAGTGTCATATGCAAAAAATAAGTGTGATATTTGGGGCCCAGACCTAATTTTAAACCTGCAAGAGAGCCACTTTGGATAGAACTGTGCAGAAGGCAAGAGAGGAGCTTAGATACAATAATGAAAAGTTAGGGTGAGATAGGATCTCCCTGTCTTAATCTTCTGGTAGGAGAGATAAACCCACACATCTAGCCATACTAAAAGAAAAACTGAAAGAAGAAATGCAAGCCAGGACCCAATTTATAAAATGCATATGGAACTTCATTTTTTCATGAGAAATTTAATGCAATGCCATTCAATTATGTCAAAGGCTTTTTCCATGTCAAGTTTTGTACCCATAAAGTATCTAGAGCCTGATCTATGCCTATTTAGGTAATGTATTGCTTCCTGAGCAATAACAACATTGTCTAAGAGTTTTTTGTCCTGGATAAAGGCTTCTTGATTCTCACTTATACAAACAGGAAAACACAATTTTAATCTGGAAGCTAGAATTTTTGAGATAATTTTGTAAGCTACACAACACAAACTAATAGTATGAAAATGCTCAACTTTAGAAGGATTCTGAGTTTTAGGGACAAGAGTGATTAAGGTACGGTTCCAAGTTTTAGATATAAACCCAAAATTGAAAAAACTGGAAAATGCTCAATTTTAACATTGTCCCAGTGCTTTTGAAAGAAAAAAGGTCATACGATCGTGGCCCGGAGCTTTGTAAGGGTTCATGCTGTCCAGAACTCTTTTGATTTCCTCTTCAGTGACTGTAGCACGAAGTCTTGAGTTTATATCTTGAGTAATAGAAGGCTGAATGCAGTCCAGGGCGGAGTCATCAGAGTCAGAGTCATGATCAACGTGCTCACAGGAAAAGAGGTTGCTATAGAAGTCTGATATGCAGCACTCAATTTCAGCAGTAGAGGTACAGATAGAGTAGTTCTCTTTAAGAAGTGTAGCGCCATGTTCGATTTATAGAATTTCTCGGATTATTCTATCTATCGAACTTATTTATTTGTTATCTGCTTTATTATATTGCTTAATAATGTCATCATTATTGGTACTTAAATATACATTTAAGTCCTAGTTCGTTTATTATTTACATGTTTGTTGTTTGGCGATTTCGGTTGAATCGCGTAAATCGAATTTAATTCGTTTGAATTATGAATTTTTCGGATTATTTATTTATTGACATTTTCATTTATCTTATGCCTTAATTGAATTCATATTATTGGTATTATTTCTTGAATAATATAATTATGGATGCCTATACTTTTATTTAATCATTCGTCGTTCGGACTTTCGCTTATATTTTAATTCGACCCGTTTGCTTTTTTTTTTTTCTCGGCCGATTGAACCGAACTTTGAAACATTATGACCAGCCCTTGGTATAGCCTCATTTCGGTCCATTTTAACCCAAGAAACCGGCCCTAAACTCCCTTATGTTCATTTTTGCTTTGAGATTTTTATAACTCATGTTCATTTCTAAATCCAATTAAATGAGAATCAATTGTGGTAACCATGACCAAATGGTCCAAATCCATCCACTCCCTTGGTACACGGCTGATGAGCCTTTCTTTTGTACTAATAATGATCTATTTATGGTAAATAGATCACAGGATGTGAAAAATTCCCCTCGTTCCAAATTATTTTTGCGCTTCAGTTAATTATTTTGATTTCCATCATTAAGGAGAAATATTATTCACCCTCAATTGGTTTTTCCCCTCGGTCAAGCTAATTAATCCCTAATTTTCATCCAATCAGCAGCGAGTTTTAGTTTTCTCCTAAATTGTATTCTCGAGCAGATAAATCATCCCAATCGCACGCATATCAGAAAAAAAAGATAAAGAAAATCTTTTGCTCTTGTTTTCTCTCGTCGAGCTAGATTCTGATGAGGTCCCTTTTGTTGATTTCTAACGCAACGTAATCTGTAATTAGGATATGGACATTACCTTTTAAAATATTTAGCAGACACAGAGACGATTCTGAATACTGTTGATGAAGTTCGTCTGATCACCACAATCCAATGCGCATATGGATTGGCCTTTACTCGATCCTAATCGAGAAGTCAAACGAAGAATGGTTGAGCCGGGTCGTCTCGGGGTCGGGGTTGCAGCAACTCGATCGCGGGTGCTGGCAGGTCGCAGATGGGAGCTGGTCAGGCTGGTCGCGGACGCTGGCAGATGCTGGTGCGCGTCAGGCGCTGGGCGTGATGCGCTGTCGCTGGTATACGCGGTCGGGCACTAGGACACGCTAGGATGGCGCGTGCGTGCGGGAGCAGCACTTCTAGGCCTAGGCAGACTGGGCGCTGGCGACTGAGTACACGCGGGCGTGCTCGACAATTATCCTGGGCGCGCGCAGAACAGATCGCGCGTGATTGTCGCGCGCACGTGCAGATCGCGATCAACGGTGATTGGCAACGACGGTTCAGAGCGATCGGGGATGACGACATCGCGCCAGCAGACAGACGGTGTGGGGTACTCGCGGATGTTGCTGGGCGTCGCTGGTGGTGCCTGGCTGTGCGCGGTAGCGGGCGGTAGCTCGCGGTTGCGCTGGATGGGCACGGGCGGTCTCCGGCGACTGTGGGCGGCGACAACGATTTTCGGCGGCTGCTCACGGCGGCAGACATCTGAGGAAGATGACCGGAATATATACGATAGAGGCTGGAATAAATATTATTGAAAAGCCTTCTAACGGATTACCTAAACACCTATTTCGATTAACCTTAGTGGTGCGACTAATCGAATCTCCCTAACTCTCAAAGAATGTTATATCTCTCTTGTATGTAGATGAGAAAATCGGCCAGCATGAGTCTCTTTCAAGAGGATGGGGAATGGTTAGGGGTGAGCGTGGGTCGGTACGGTTCGGAGATTGATAAATCTCTGGAACCGTACCAAAGTTCAGAGATCCCAAAATTCGATCTCCGGAACGGTACCAAAAAGTTGGTTCGGTTAGGTTCAGCGATTTTTGTTTTTCGATTCGGTTCGGTATTCGGGACTATTGGGACGATACACTTTGGTTTGGTCCGGATCTTCGGAGATTTTTTATTTTTTTAGAT